TTGCTTGCTAGGGTACCACCATTACGCTTCAGGAACTGTTTACACCAGGAGTATATAGTATTAGCGGAAAGTGCACCGGTATTTCCAACCGATCCACCTTTGAGACCTGTAATACTATAACCACCCATGTTAATATTACCAGTCATAGTGAAGCCGCTACTATTGATTGAACTTCCACTAAAACGATCAGTGACCCACTTCTTCGAGACAGCAGAATTATCAGTTGTGGGAGCACCTAACTTTACTATTTCATTATTGTTCATATCAAGGTCGTCAGATAAAGTAAGACCGCTGTAAGTCTCACGCTTACTTCTACCTCCACTAATCTTATCTTCTACCCACTTTTTGTTAACAGCAGATGTATCAGCACTAGGAGCTCCAATATTTTCAATTTCATTCCCACCCATCTTGAGAACACCAGTCATTTCATTTGAACCGTCCAATTTCAAGGCAAAGCGTGAAATTGGGTTAATCACAGTTTGAATATCGGGAACAACCACCTTTGCACCAAGTTTGTTGATTATATAGATTGAGTTACCATTTGCGACAGTTAGATCACCATTTAAGGTGAATCTTGATGTAACCCACCTCTTGCTAACAGCAGATGTACTGGAACTAGGGTCACCAATATTTTCAATTTCGTTTCCGCCCATTTTAAGATTACCGGTCATTTCATTTAGTCCGCTTAGTTTAAGATACGAACTAGTTAGTTGGCTAAGCCTTACGAGACTTTTTGGATTTAACCCATCCGCGAAACTCCTAGGGGCTTTAGAGAAGTCGATAGGTCCAGTTACACTCTGTGATAGGAAAGAGTCGCTTAGCCTTAGAAATGTTCCCCCTGTTTGAGTTAAACCACCTTTTTGTAACAGCGGACTGATCCTCAGAGGGATCCTTAAGATTCTTAATCTCATGATGCTTCATATCAAGATCTCCAGCCACGGGTTTATTTATCATACTAGTTACCCAGTCCTTATTAACGGTAGACTTTCCAGTTGCAGGATCACCCAGAGCCTTTATCTCATTTGTTGACATATTAAGATCATTCGTAAGGATAAGACCAGGTAAACTTGCGTGTATATGCCTGCGGCTACCTTCAACCCAGCTCTTACTAGCAGCGTCACCTGGATTAGTAGGATTATCAAGATTAGTTACCTTATTACATCCCATGTCAATATCCCCAGTCATTGTAAACCCTGCTGGTTGAATTGTAACAGCAGCCTGTTTAATGATCTCATCATCCACCCACGTTTTTGTGACCGCAGACGTATCATCTGTAGGTGCACCTAAACCCTTCACCTCATTACCATCCATCTCAATGTCACCCTTCATGGTAAATCCATCCTTATCAAACACACTACCACTTGATGGGTCAACTTTATTTACTCCTTTATTATATCCCCTATAGAGAGCCATTTTTATAACATACACAATGTTTCACAGAACAGTTCTCAATATAAGAAACACAGCAACAGCCCCGCTACCAAGTCCAGCTAAAGCACCATCACCTAAGGACTCACGGGTACTAACCACATTACGCTGTGCGATAGGTGTGCTAGTCTTAGGAACAACCTGAGGTGCAACACTTACAGAACTCCCCGGAACTTTCGTGTTTCCACTAAGGGTATCAAGTTGGTGAACTGGTGTGCTTTTTTGATGCTGTTTCTTTGAAGGATCAGCTTGCTTAACACCGACATAATTTACCTTAGGATTCACACCAAATTTCATTGTATTAGTTGCCGTCTTTAGAAGGTTATTATAACCGAGTATTGGAGTTTTTAGAATAATAAAGTTCGATGGGATTAGAACTATTTCAGGGGATAGAGCAGTGTTTAGAATCACATTGGTGTCCCTCACAGCTTTCCTCATATTACTAATTGTTGTTACCGTATTACTTTGTAAAATAGTAGACTTTACAATAGTTCTAAAGTCACGTTGTGTTTGAAGAGCCTTTGGCCCGTTTCCTTCTATTGACCAGCTGGTATTAGCTTGAGATCCCAACATAGCGTACACATAGGACTCAATACTCTCCTGGATAAGCTCAACGCCCAACTTAGTAAAGCCATTGCCTTTTTCAGCTATGAATGAAAGGTAATCACTACCAGACAAAGGTCCTGCACTAGTTGTAGCACCACTGTCATCAATAATATAATTCTGATTTATTGGAATGTGTTTCCTTACAATATCAAGGTTAACACCAAGTTTATCAATAGCATCCTTACTAACTGTTAACTTTCTGGTTGTGTAGTAAAGATGATACCTCATAATGGATGTTATTATTTTAGGAACGGAATTACTTTCACGAACGTGTTCTAGGGATACACCGCTGAGATAGCTAGCTATGTAGGCACCAGACAACATTCTAGTGTATGGTATCGTATTAAAGGAAACTTTTCTTACATCCCTATTACTTAAATTAGGATCCTCATCCCAACCTACACCAGCGTCAGGAAAGTTAGACATGAAATAACTGTTTTCATTTACATAGATCTTAAAGTTGTTAAAGTTGTAGGGAAGACTTATAGGAGGTCGATACGTGTTAATATGATAGCCGTCATCATGAATTAGAACTCGACTGAGACCCAACTTTCTTTCATCGTAAATAGGATCCTTTGGAAAGACAAGAGGTTCATATTTTTGAACGGTGCCATTACTATTCCAAAGATGTGGCCATCCTTTTGGTTTCAGGGGAGGTGCCACCGCCTTGGGTTTCATTGATGTGAGGTATGATGTGTATTCGCTATCCCCCTTAAATCCATCGTATCTTATGTCATAAGACGTAATTCCATCTAAATCCACAAACCATGTAACAACACCAATATCACCACTACTTGTAGTCATAGCTTCAAATTTAAATCTTCTCATATCTGCAAAAGGATAACTTAACATAAATCTAGCTTTTTCAGCGTCCTCTGCCTTTTGACCGGCAACAGGATCAACATAGCCATCAATATCATTCCCATACTTTTTTTCATATTCTTGGTACGACCGATACGGCGACTTACCAACTTGTCCTCCACCTAGTCTCATTCTTAATAACCTAACGTATGTTATTAAGATGAAGTTCACAATTTTACTGCAGAGCTCTCACACAGTTGTATCACTACAGAACTCAGTTCTAACAAGCAACTATAAATCAGTCTTTGTAAAGAGAGTATCAGTATTCTGGGAGTACTTCAACATAAGGGAACCAACAACTATTCTCAAAGTGAAGACAGATGATGGAGAATCTGATGTAATTGTTAATAAAGGTTACTACACATTTGACAGTATGAAGAAGTTACTTGAAAGACATGGTGTTAAGCTAACCTACTTTGCTGAAACAGCAGGATGTCAGATAGAAGCAGTAAAACAAGATATCACAATAGAAACACGATTACTAACTATATTAGGTTTTAATAGATATTTTAATCCTATGATCCTGCTGAAAGGGAGGAGTTTGACAAGTGATAGCAAAGTTGACTTTAATAATGGTCTACGAGGTGTAAATATACACTGTAATCTAGTTAGTAGCAGTTACAACGTTAACCCTTGGGGAAGACCCAGCGATGTGATAACAAGTGTTACAGTTCCAACAGACAGACCATTATTAGGCTCGGTAGTTAGTTACACTGATGTTGAAAGCAGGATTTCAGTTATTAAGGGTTCGTTCTCAGAACTTGTATTCCACATGACAGATCAAGACGGGAAACCTGTTGATATAGGTGAAGTGCTACTTGAGATGTACCTTGAGTAGATAGCTTACATTGGTTAATATAAGATGGACGACGATATTATGAAAGAACAGGGACTACGAGATATTTACTACAATCCTAAGACTGGATTTCAAACGCCAGAGAAATTATATCTTAGAGCAATATCAGACGGACTTGAAGTAACCAGAAACCAGGTCAAGAAATGGATAAATGAGCAAGACACATACACTAGGTACAGACAAGTGTTCAGGAGACACAAGTTCAGACAGACGTACGTCCAATCTTTAGGTGAACAGTTACAAATGGATTTTGTTGACATGACAAAATATGACGATAAGAACAAGCGATACCGCTGGATTCTCACATCCATCGAAATACTAAGTAGGTACGCGTTTACGGTACCAGTGCACAGGAAAAACGCGGGGGCAATGAAGGACGCAGTCAGTAACATTTTAGAGCAATTTAATAATCGTTTTGGTAAATACCCAAAATTCGCACAGTTTGATCAGGGTACAGAGTTCTACAACAAAGATGTAAAGTCATTGCTCAATAAACATAACATTGAATTTTTCTCTACTTACTTAGACAAAAAGGCCGCAGTTGTGAAAGATTTAACAGAACACTGAAAGCGCGAATGTGGAAGTACTTCTATAGTGCCAGCACATATAGATGGTTAGACGTCCTTCAAGACTTAACTGATAATTACAACAGCTCAGTGAACAGATCAATTAAAACAACACCGGACAGTGTAAATGAGTCCAACCGGACTGAAGTATGGAAGACACTTTTTAGTCACAATTTAGGCAAGCCGTCAGAACCAAAGTTTGCTGTCGGAGAAAGAGTCAGGATCTCGAAGTACAAATCAGTGTTCACAAAAGGGTACGAAGCAAATTTCACAGAGGAATTGTTCACTGTGACGGAAGTGTATCACGGCCATCCAAACACGTACACAATAAAAGACAGTGCTGATGAACCAATAATTGGCAGATTCTATGAACAAGAAATGTATCGCGCTGAAGGAAGAGAACCTGATTTCAGAATAGAGAAAGTATTAAGGAGAAGTACGGTGAAGGGTAAAAAGATGGTCCTAGTTAAGTGGTTAGGTTATGATGACAAATTTAACAGTTGGATACCAGCTGGAGACATCAAGTCCCTAACGTAAGTTAAAGTATTATGGAGGACTTCAATGACTATGATGACATTGAGTTGGAGGAGACGAAAGAGACCTATCCTCAATATGACGACCTCAATTATGATGACCTAACGACAGCTTTTAGTAGGTTAGATACAAAGGTGAAGGGAGAGGCTATGTATGGTTCCGATCCATTAGTGATAACTGATCTTAAAAGTGAACTAGACTATGTGAAGAATCTCATGGAGAAACGTGCAATAGAAGAAACAACTTTCACCGAAGGAAATGATGGTACAGTGAACATTTCAGGACCATCAGGAAGCACAACCGTTCCAGGAGTCGACTTCGTGGAAGATCCAAACAAAGTACTTCCAGACGTGCTAGATGCATTTGATGAACCATTCGACGCTGACTGGGACGAAATAGAGATCCGTCTGAGTAAACTGAAAAAGTTCTCAGAAAACCGGCTCACAGCAAATAAAAAGAGAGATTTCGAAAACCAAGTAGAGCGTGTTCAAGCTGTCACAAGAGTCATCAAGGGTAAGGAGGGACTAATACTAGACCCTAGGAATAAATATGCCAGGGAACTCATCAAACGATCATCTGTCAGAACACTCAATGATGGCACAGAGGTGTTGGTATTTAGAAGTGAACAAGGTATTGACAGAGGTGATACCCAGATAATGAAACGTGGTAAAACCAGGAAACCTGTGTACTCCAAGAACTCCATTGCACTGAGAGAATACAAGGACCTTATAAAGAAAATAAAAGAGGTACCAACGGATCCTGACGCTATAATTGGAAGTGATGAATCAATTTACGAGGATACTAAAGAAGAGCCCCAATTTGATGAAAGTAGTGAGGAATTCGCTAACCGTGAGAACATTGAGTTAATAGACATAAGTGCAAAACTAGGAGACCATCCAGGGCTAACAATGGCAGAAAACAATGAACTGAGAGGTGTTCTTAACCCGCCTGAGGGATCAAGTATAGAAGGCAGAACAGGACCAGCAGGTGCACTGCAAGTACAAGCGGACTACTTTGATGAAGCTATTGGTAGAACTGTAGAGCAAGCCACTGAAGCTGAGGGTACAACTGAGTGCAATGCTCTTATAGAAAGAATTGATAGTCTAAAGGAAGCTAGAGATCGAACCCTAGAACAGAGAGTATTAGAGGAAACCAAAGAGGCGCAGTTGGAAGATATTTCCAGATTACGTAAGTTTGTGAAATGGTTAGGGGAGGAGAAGGTGGGTCTAACTGGAATAGCAATATCAACAGCAGGTCTACTAACAACTATTCTTATTCATGCTAGGGGAGCCATTGTGAAGACAGCAAAGACCACTGGTAAAGTAGCAAAAGCATTAGCAAATTTAGCGAAGAAAGCAGGACCAGTTCTAGTTCCAATTCTGAACGCAGTTGCAACGGCGCTATCATGGGGAGCCAAAGGAATTACCTTGTTAGCGTCACACTTATGGGTACTAGCTATAGCTGCAGCCTTAATGGTATACAACTATTACACAAAGTAAAGTAGCTATGGAGGAACACCAAGAGGAATACGATGACCAGAAAATGGAGGAGTTAAAGGAAAAGTATCCAGACTATGAAGAAATGGATATGGAAACTTTAGATAGCGAATTACCGTACCTTGACAAGGATCTTAGGGAAAGCGAAACTACTGAGGAGACCCAGGATATTAACGAGGAAATTAATTACGTACAGGAACTTAGGAGGAGAAAAATATTGGAAATATATGAAAGCAAAGACCTTACGAGAGAGCAATTAGCTGAGAAATTCCCTGACCTATCTAATCTGTCATACGATGATCTAATGGATAGGGGAGACAGACTGTTAAATGAAATAATACTATCCAATTTGGACGAAGACAGTTTCAAAGAAAAGTCGGAAGAACTGAGATACGTCAGGATGCTATCAAATGATTACCAAAGAGAGTCAAACTTAAATAAACTTCTCAACTTAAGAGATAAGCTGAAAAAGAGGGATCTCATTAAACGGGATGATCGTAGGAGACTGCAGAGGCTCAGGTTATGGGCAAGGGAGAATGCAGGCATCTTATCAGCTGTTCTAATTTCCTCATCAGCTGTAATCATAGGACTGGTAGCATCAACTAGAAACATATTGTGGAAAGTAGGTGACACAACAGAAAAGCTCGATAAGCGGATCAGTGAGTTGGTAAACCACCAAATAGAACTACCACCTGTATTTCAGAAGATAGCCGATGGAGTAGAGATAGCAGCGGATAATATATGGATAATCATTGTATGTGCAGCAGTAGTTTTACTATGCAAATACAACTAAACATTACATATTGTATACAAGTAGTATGAATACCACAGAAAGAGAACTCCAACCTGGCTTCAGGAGGAGTCGTATGACATCCGTAAAAGGTCCCAGAACTAGAAGTGTTGTAACTTTCAATCCACCAACCATTAGCCCAGGTGAAGAGCTGTACATTAACATCCCCAAACTAAAGCCTGACTCTTGTTTAGTCCCGGGATCGTTTGCACTATTATTTGACTTCAAAAATTCCAATACAAAGAGTCGCTTTAATAACAACCTGTCTAAGTTGATAGCAAAACGTCTTCAGATTAAAGTAGCCGGTGAAACAGCTTATGACTGTTCAGGAGAGAGTTTGTATGAAATATACAAAGATCTATGGCTAACACTAGGTGACAGGAAAAAGATGACAGAACAAGGTCTTGCAAGTAAGAATCTCAGGAAGCTGATATCAGGTGATGACTCAGGAGCAAAAGTTGGTGATGTTGATAAAGTAGCAGATTCACTTCTCCATAGTGTGTACGGTTCTAAGCTGAGAAAACCAATTGATAAGATAATTGCAGATCATGGGCTCTACACACCGTTCTCCATGAATAACAATCCTATGTACATCCTCACACTCCCCCAAGCAGATGAGATTATGACCGCTCAAGGAGGTGAAGCTAAGGGTAATTATAAACTTGATAATCTTGAGTTAGAATACGAGACCATTGAGAATGACACCCTTGCAAGTGAAGTATCAAGGATGTATTCAACGGGTCGCTCACTGTCCTACAAACACGTTACACTAATGCGCACAAGTAATTGGGACAAGGATGTTACCATTGTAAATGAGAACATTAATATCCCCAGGAAGAGCATGTCAGCAATTGTCCTTCTATTTACCAATAGAGTGAGAACTGATTCTGAAGAGTATATTTACCCAAACATCGATAAAGTGAACCTGACCATTGAAGGTGTGCCTAATGCAGTCTTCTCCCAAGGACTTCCCAAAAATAGGTTCTTCGAAGAGGCAAAAAGATTCTTCTGCCCTATGTGTGAGAAATCCATGGCAGACGAATTTATGTCCATCAGTAAGTTCTTCGGCAATGGTTTTGCTCTAGTAATCGATCTTAGGTCAACACAAGATGATACCACTGGTGGAAGTAAGAAGATAGTTAACACACAGTCAGGCGTACTCCTGGAAATCAAAAAGAGAGCCACAACAGCTGATGTTCAATGCAACATTTTTGTTGTATAAGATGCTCTCCTTAACTTTGCCAATAGAGATCTATCAAGTATTCAATACTAATGGTAAAGCATAGAGATGCAACAACTTAAGCCCCCATTCAACATGCTCATAGTAGGAATGACTGGAAGTGGAAAAACTCCGTTCCTACTTAATATGTTAGAAACAGAGTACAATAGAGTTTTCGATTACATTGTCATTGTATGTCCAACAATAGAGTGGAATATGACTTACATTAATTGGACTCATATTAGTGAGCACGGAGTTATACAAATTCCATGTTCACAAGAAATGATCGATCTTGTTCTCAAGGCTGTATCCACCATATTCCGCGGTACTCAGACTCTCATTATAGTGGACGATTGTGCTGCAAGTCAAGATGTAAAGAAAAGAGTCTCAGAACTGGTGCGCCTAGCTTTCTCTGCAAGACATTACAACCTATCTGTCATTGTACTTACCCAACAATTGTCATCAGTAGCGAAGCCCTTTAGAGAGAACATTTCCAGGCTAGTTACATTCTACAACCCTAGTCGCAAGGATATGACGGTGATAACAGATGATTACCTAAGTGGCGTTCCTCAGGAGAGACAATCACAGAAATTACGAAAATATTAAGAGATGAAAAGTTCACCGCACTGGACGTACTACTTATTCACCCTTACACATACACTGTTAAACTAAACACCGCGTAACATATAGATGATGGGAACTGAATCTGAGGAAGAAGTATTTGAGGCTGTAAGAGAAGTAGAGGAGGCCGCAAAGGTGCCGCAGAAAAAAGCTAGGTCTACCGCAAGAAAAACTAAGTCTACCGCAGATAAGTCGCAAACTGAAAGTAAAAGGGACAAACTTATAGAGCTATCAAGGGACGGTATAATAGAGAAGCCCGCAAGTTTAATAAGAAAGTCTAACAAGGATGTTGTAGATAGACTATACCATCAGTATGAAAGTCAGAGGATCTCATGTGCAAGTGACTTCTTATCAACGCTTATTATTTCAAAGTTTGCTGCGGTACTAGGAAGTTTTGGTGCAGTGGAATCATCAGAGAAACTATCAGAGGAACTACTTAGTGACAAGCTTCTGAAGGACGACGTAGCATATCTAACCAGAACGATATCCCCCAACATACCATTCATAGGGCTCATATCTGGTGGTTGTACAACAGCTAAACATGTAGTTGCACATAAGTGGAATAAGAAGGAGGAACTTGAGGAAGTGTCCGAGGAAGCTAAACATCTTCTATTACATACAGAATGCCACGACTCGGAGGGCCCTATGACTGGGGAAATCCCTGGGAAGGAACAGAATTCGAAGACATAATTAATGAATTGATTGAGAAAACTGATAAAAACAGGGAACATGTACAGCTGGATAAGATTCAGGCAACTTTGGATTCACTAAAGTATGACTTTGAAGCTTTTAAAAATGATATAATAAAAACAGTTGTAAATATATACAAGAATCTAAATAAATGCAGTAGGCAAAATAATTTTTTGTAATAGGAAGTATACAACAGTGGGAAGCAGCTGGGTGGGCTGAGGGAATGCTGCTCCCTGTATGGGTAAAAATTAAATCGAAATAAATTGATGAATAAAATAGCCTAAAAATTTTTTACACATATAGTATAGGAAAGATGGAGCAATTATTCAGGAACCAAAAGTTGAATGTTAGTGTAAGAATAGTGAGGTGGGGTGAGGGTATACTGTTCTATGCAAAAGATGTGGCGGAATCACTAGGGTACGAGGATCGCCCCCCTTGCCAAAATGTCACCCACAAACGATCCTGCTATACGAACCTGGTTTGTACCAGCTAATATGTAGCTCAAGACTCCCAATAGGAGAGGCCTTTCAGGACTGGGTATTCAGTGAGGTGCTTCCATCGATCCGTAAAACAGGCTCATACAAATTACCAGGATCTGAACCACTCTATTGTAATCAGATGAAGCTAATTAATGAAACGGACCTTCATTATGCTGTTGTAGAATATCTTAAAAAGTACCATCCAAAAGCCCTAATCCTACCGGGACTAGGAGAGTACCAGGATACATCACAAAAGAGATGCGACGCTTGGAGGAAGGGATATATGGGTGGACAGCCTGATCTCACAATAGTAACTCCAAGTAATGGTTTCCATGGATTCGCAATAGAACTCAAGACCCCAAAGGGCACAGGTGAAGTTAGGGACAACCAGGTGTCATGGTTAAAGGTGTTAAACGAAAATGGATACCGGACACTAATATCTAACAATTACACAAAGATAGTGCTAGATATAGAGGAGTACTTTAGGGTCGACAAGATAAAGAAACCCCTGGAGGAAATAAACAATCTTAAGATAAAGTGCAAGACTCTAAAGGCTAGTAAGTGTAAGGAAGTTGTAATCCGACAAATTGGTTACACAGTAGGTAAGTACTAGAGTGGAAATGGGGAGCCAGGGAATGAAATTTAGAAAATGCTCGGTAAATGCTGTCGGGCATTTTTAAGCAATCCCATCATACTGTCAAGTAGATTTAGGTTATCTTGTAAGTAGATTCAAGTTATCTTGTAAGATAACTTACAAGAAGATTTAAGTTATCTTACAAGTAGATTCAAGTTATCTTACAAGTAAATTTAAGTTATCTTATAAGTAGAATCAAAGATAACTTGCAAGATAAAACCCAGTTAAACCTTAGGTATCTTACAAGTAGAATGGAAGATAAACCTGAGAAAAATCAAGTACCAGTAACAAGTGAAAAAAAGAAGGACCCAAAAAGAGTAGCTGCGGGAAAACGACTGGGAGCAATCAGTAGAATAGCAAAGGAAGGGAAAAGGAAACAAGCTGAACCTAACGACTATCTAGTAATGATAGTATGAACACCTACATAGGAGTGGCCATTGCATTGATATCTCTTGTGCTAGCATATAAAACACATCAGAGGGAAACTAGGGAACCAGAACCTGAGTACATCCCTAAAACTGTAGAAGTAACTAGGAAAGCTGATGAGTCCAAGTTAGATTCACTTGAATGATACATTAAACATACCATATATTATAACAAGATGAGTAAGGTAAACGCAGTTGATAAATCAGAGATGGGAAGTGAAGTGTACGATGCATTACTACTTACAGCTGGAGCAATTGGAATCACAATGGCATCTAAAAAGTTACTGAAGGAACCACTAGGTACACCAGAGAACACAAAGGGAATGTTAAAGTTAGCTGTCTCTATTAGTCTTTCATCCCTACTGGTATCGTATCTAAAGAAACATAAGTATATCCCTGATAATCCAATTGGAACCTAAGACTCCCGAAACATAGGTAAAACTATACAATGGCAAGTGCAGTAGCAGGAGGACTTTTCAATGCGTTTGCATTTGCGGGAGCAGGATACTTATTTTAAATGTTTGACAAGAATGGATATGCTGAGGAAGCTCATAGACATAACCTTGCAATGGAGAATCTTACAGCTGAAAGAGAAAAGTACCTCGAAGAGGTCACTGATAGGAGAAATAGAATTGCTCAGCTAAAGTCAGAACTAGCTGATGCAAATCGTGATATCAAGTCAACGAACCAGTCACTAGAACTCGTTAGAAGAATCAATGAGTTAACACGTAAGGCTATGCCAAGGAAGCCGCAATTAAGTAATCACAACAAACCTAGCTCTGAGATGGAAGAATATATGGCACTATTTGGTTTAGTTGCAGGTGGAGCAGTGGGTGGGTTAGCTTACTTAATTCTATAGAAAATGCCATAAAAATTTTCACACCTATAAGTATAGGGAAAAAGGAATGGTTACAGATGGCAACACCTGAGGAGATAGCACATGTAGGTAAAAGGGTAAATACAGTGGAAGAGTTAGAGGCTGCTGTGAAGAAGCACGCAGAGAGTAGAATAAAGAGAAAACACACATATGATCCAATATGTAGCGAATGTGGAAGTAAGTCTATTGTAATGATAGATGGAGCAGATACATGCACACAGTGTGGTGCCAGTGATATGAATAACTTTTCTTACTACGTTAGTTACAACTACAACAAGGACGACTATCTGAAGAAGAAGTCTTGTCATAATAGAGTCCGTTGGTTTGAGAGACACTTATTCGAACATGTTGCTTCTAGGGATAGGGACACCATAAGGGAGCAGTTTAGAAGCATCGTAAGATGTATACAAAGACTTAGACTGCAAAGGGGGCGCAACATAGTCAGATACAAGTTTTACCTACTGAGGATAGCCAGTATGAATGGTATAACTTTGAGAAACCCTCCTGAGGATATCAAAACTCAAAAAATAGTGGACATCCTTGAGGATAGGTTGTATGGGAAAGTTTTTGTTGAGCTTGGATGGAAACCTGAGAAATGTGAATATTATAATAACAGGAAAGTAAAAACACTTAAAGAAATATTAATATAATAAATCAATAGAATTAAACAATAAATTAAACCAAAAATAAAAACACTTAAAGATATACTGATATAATAAATCAATAGAATTAAACAATAAAAACACTTAAAGATATACTGATATAATAAATCAATAGAATTAAACAATAAATAAAAAAACACTTAAAGATATACTGACATAATAAATCAATAGAATTAAACAATAAATTAAATCAAAAATAAAAACACTTAAAGATATACTGATATAATAAATCAATAGAATTAAACAATAAATTAAATTAAAAATAAATTCGAAATAAATTAATAATTAAATACCCGAATTTATTTTTACATATATAGTATATAGGAAATGTTAGAAAATATGGCGAGTTACTTTAACACGAACGAATTCAGCGTAGAACAACTTATGGCTCTCAATAGTATCATAGATAGTGATGAGGATATGGATACAAGAGTAGAAGACATCCTAAGGGATAGAAACTACAGGATTGCTCCTGATGATAAGGGCGAAAGCCCATTCCAGGGAGAAAAACAGTTCATAGACGAATACGATCGTGATATGGAAACAAAGAAGCCAAGACGCATACCTAAGAACTATAAGGGTAAAAGAGGAATTATGCCAACGTGGAAGTACTCTGACAGACAAAAAGCTAAGGCGCTACTTGTAGAGGAGGCATACCAGAGTTTACTATCTAAGGGAGTTCAAGGACTGCCACCAACAATGGGAGGTAGATGGCGTACAGACAATGTTCTTGTTAATGAGGAAATTAAGAGAATCGAAAACGAAAGGAATCCTAAGGTAAAGCGTCCCAGAGGTAGACCACCAAAGGCAAAGGTTGATGCTGAAGTGAAGGTGCCAAAGAAGAGAGGTAGACCACCAAAGGGAAAGGTTGATGCTGAAGTGAAGGTGCCAAAGAAGAGAGGCAGACCACCAAAGGCAAAGACTGATGTTAAGGCCAGGAAGCAAACTGTAGCCGAAAGATTCCTGAATCAGAAGAAGGTAAAACTCTCAGTGCCTGCAGATAGTGTCATAACTCCAACAGGTCCAGGTAAGTTCACAGTTCACGTGGATCTTAATAAGAGACCTGTGAGGAAAGCTCCTGAGGTACCTAAGGGTGTAGCTCCATGGAGACCAATACCTAAGCCTAGAACGGTACTTCCTAAGGAAAGACCTGTACCGAAACCTAGAACTAAGCTTCCTAAGGAAAGACCTGTACCGAAACCCAGGACTAGGAAACCAGTGTCTCCTCCTAAGGTCCGTAAGCCTGTAAGGGTGTCGAGGGAAGTCAAGGAGCAGCCTATAGTGGTTACACTAGAGGAACACGAAATAGATCCATTTGGAACAGACCTTGAAAAGCCATTCCATAGGAAAATAGAAACAGCCGCAAATGGAGCCGCTGTGACTTCACTCGATAACTCCTCATTATATGGACCCTCTGGACCAGATGACTGCAAGTAGACAGGTATATAGTGAGAGGAATACTTGTGAATGAGTTGAAGAGAATGGGTGGGTTGAAGTACACAGAGACTCTGAAGGTGAGAATGTCAAAGGAAATTGGTGACGGGAAAACCAAGAAGGACTCAGTCTACTTCAAATCTAAGACTGGTACTGCGACTAACTTTGAGGATATTGAAAGTACAGCTGCTCAAAACCAACTGACAATATTATCTAGAATTGAAACCTTCCAAAACTTAGGTTCAAACTGGATTATACTCAATATTTAGAGTCATTACGTAAACATCTCAATGTATAAACCGTTAAAGGGTAGTTCATACATGGAACTTCCTAAGGACATTAGTAATTCAATGTGTGGGCTCATCAATATGAAGAACAATGACAACCTGTGTTTCCTGTGGAGTCATGTGATACATCTGAATCCTAAGGCAAGAAGAGCAACCACTATCACACAAAAAGATAGGGAATTCATAACGAACCTGGACTATGACGGTTTAGACTTCCATGTGAAGATAAGTGACATTGATAGAATTGAGAGGAAAAACAGTATCAGCATATCTGTGTTTGGTTATAAGGGTAAGAAACAGTTCTACCCTATAAGGAACTCCAAGGCTAAATACGAGGATCATATGGAACTTCTACTCCTAGGTGATGGTGAAGGTAACAACCATTATGTGCTCATAAAGGATGTAAATAAGATGCTTTTCAGTGTAAGTAAACATGCACATAAGCAGCACTTCTGTCTACACTGTCTTCACAGTTGTATAAGTGAAGAGGTACTGGAAAAGCATAAGGAAACATGTCTGGAGGTAAACGGAACTCAGGCTGTAAAGCTTCCTGGGGAAGGGACAAAAATCAAGTTCAAAAATCATAGGAACTCAATGCCCGTGCCGTTTGTGATATACGCTGATTTTGAGTCCATACTAGTACCAGAGGAGAGAAAAGAGAAGTCAGAGAACCCTGAGGATGAAAGTAGTACGGACCTTTACCAGACACACAAGGCTTGTAGTTTTGGTTTGAAAACAGTCTGCCACTATGATGATAAGTACTCCGGTGAGTATAAGAGTTACGTTGGAGAGGATGCTGCATTGGTCTTCCTAAAGACTGTATTGAAAGAGTCCTTCAGATGTAGGGAAATGACTGACAAAATATTCAGGAAGAAAATGGTAATCACACCTAAAGAGGAAGCAGAATTCCTGGTTACAAGAAACTGCCACATATGTGGTTACGATCTATGTGAGGACCGTGTGAGAGACCATGACCATGTAACAGGTAAGTACCGCGGAGCTGCTCACAATATATGCAACCTTAAGTACAGAATTACATGGAAAGTACCTGTGGTCTTCCACAACCTGAGAGGTTATGATAGTCATCTGATTATGCAGGAAATTGGTAAGTTCAAGATGGATGTTAATGTGATTCCAAATAATATGGAAAAATACATCTCATTCTCACTGGGTAAGAATCTGGTCTTCATAGACTCTATACAGTTCATGGCTTCTTCACTGGAAGCACTGGTGAGTAACCTTTCACCTGAAGACTTCAGGATAGTAGGTAAGAGGTGGAAGGGTGATTTATAATAACATTTAATATCCATCTTTGGTTAAAAAAGTACAATGGAATTACAAGAAGTGCTAAGGTTAAAATTGATAAGAAGAAATTTTACTATTATTTACATCAATGTTGCTAAAAATGTTTATACTAGTTATATATTCTATAAAATTAATTTAGGACTGTTTTAAAAGGGATATAGCTCTAGGTATAAAGGATTGCCGTGTCTTTTAGTATACGATACAACATATGGTAGATTATTTGTTGTTCTTAGATCGTGTTCATGGGTAAAAGGTTGGGGGATAAGTTTATTACATGGGTTGGTCGGATCATTTAGAATTCTTTAGAGGACTTCAATCTAGTGACACAAAAAGGAGTGTTCCCCTATGAGTTCCTAGATGATATTAGCAAACTCAATACAGAAGGTCTTCCGAGCAAGGATAAGTTCTACTCGTCACTGTATGAGTCAGAGGTGAAGGAGCAAGATTACCAGAGAGCTCGGAAAGTATGGGATCACTTCAAGATGAAAACCATGAGAGACTACCACGACCTCTACTTGGAGACCGACGTTCTTCTGCTGGCTGATGTATTCGAAAACTTCCGGAGAACATGTCTGGAAAGTTATGAACTTGACCCCGCACATTACGCGTCAGCACCTAGTCTGAGTTGGGACGCTTTCCTGAAAAAGTCAGGTGAAGAAATAGAATTCGTAAGCGATATGGATATGTTCCAGTTCTTTGAGAAGGGTATGAGAGGTGGTACAAGTTATATTGCTCATAGACACTCAGCAGCTAATAATAAGTACATGGAGACGTACGATGAGTCGTCTGAGAACAAGTACCTAATGTATCTCGACGCTAATAATTTATATGGCTGGGCGATGTCACAACCACTACCTAATGGAGAGTTCGAGTGGGTTGAGGAAGTTGACGGTATGAATATAGACGATTACTTGGGAGACAACGGAAGAGGGATGGTTTTGGAGATTGACCTGGAAGATCCACAAGAACTTCACGACCTACACAACGGTTATCCTCTAGCACCGGAGAGTAAGGAAATCAGTGCTTCTATATTGTAAGACTATGCGAAGAATATTGCTGAGAAATTCCAACTGACAATTGGAGGAGTAAGAAAACTAGTGACTTCACTAGGTCCCAGGAAGAAGTACGTCTTACATGTACGTAATCTGAAACTGTACACAGACCTTGGGATGAAACTCACAAAGGTCCATAGAGCGGTTACGTTTAAGCAGTCTCCCTGGCTTAAGGACTACATAGACTTCAATACGAAGAAAAGGTCTGCAGCCCGTAAAAAGTTCGAAAAGAACTTCTTCAAGTTAATGAACAACTCGATCTACGGAAAGACTATGGAGAATCTTAGGAAAAGGGTTGATGTGAAATTAGTGTCCTCCAAAGACGACCTCCTAAAACTGACAGCATCACCGTGCTTCCAGTCACATCGAATCATGAATGAGAATCTTATAGTGGTAAAGAGGATGAAAGAAGTGCTAACGCTGCATAAGCCGTGTTACGTGGGAATGAGCATCTTAGATTTATCCAAGACTCTAATGTACGACTTCCACTACAACACCATTAAAAAGGAATACGGTAATAGTTCGAGGTTACTGTTCACCGATACTGACAGTCTGATGTACGAACTGAAGACGGATGACGTCTATGAGGACTTCGGGAGGATCGGCGAAGAGCAAGACTGCTGGGATAATTCAGATTACCCAAAAGACAACCCTTACTACTCAACACATAACAAGAAGGTTATAGGTAAGTTTAAGGATGAAGCTGGAGGAGTACCCATAATTGAGTTTGTTGGGTTGAGGTCAAAAATGTACTCCTATGTCAAGGAAAACGGTGGGGGTGGAATGACAGCTAAAGGGGTTAAGAAGTATGTCATCAGAAACAAGCTCACTCATGAGAACTTCAAGAATGTAATCAACACGAAGGGTAGGATGAGACACAACATGAATACAATCAGGAGCACAAAGCATACAATCGGAACTTATGAAATGAGGAAGGTTACTCTGAGCTGCTTTGATGATAAAAGGTATCTTTTGGAGGATGGAGTTACCAGTTATGCTTATGGTAACAAGAATATAAGAAATAGTAACTGAGAAGTTCCCACAGAGTAGAAAGTAATAATCCTAAAGGATAAGTAAGCAGGAAGGGCCCCCTGCCTTGTGTACCCCCAAGGAGAAAATAAAAGTTGTCGAAAAGGCTCTAGAATAAGCAAATCGGATGATATTGGGGAATCTAGGTGTTTAGGGGTTTGGGAATCCCTGGTATTTTGATAGAAGAGAATGGCGAATAGTTGGAATCTGAGTGTGACAACTAAAATGGGTATTGTGGAGGTTGTAGGAAGTATTAATTAGTGCTCAGAATTAATATCTGACGGTTCTGTGGAAAGGGTGTGTGTTACCTCAAGGGTATTTTAAAAGTTGTCGAAGAGGCTCTAGAATAGGTAAATTATAAATTGTATGAAAACAAGAATATAAGAAATAAATGTAAGAAGGAAATGCCGGTAGTGAGATCACGAAAGGTCCCGCTCCGCTCTGCGGAGCGAGACCATTAGTGGTCTCGCTACGGCAGTTCCTATACTACTTACGAATCAAACAGGAGTACTTTTTTGGGGACACCCGGTATATTACACTATCAGTCGTTCGTTTCCGAGATATCACGTTCCAAAGATTTTTAAAATACATAGTCAGCATTTTTGTTTCTCCACTAAAACTTGTATTGACAGGCTGTATACAGGGGAAGGGCTTATTTTGCACTAGTACGTACCTTAAGTTGTGCACCACAGTGTGTGAATTAAAGCAGTGATGCAAGTCAAAAAACTAAAATGCTACTAAACAAATCAAATTGTTTACCCGTCATCTAAAGCCTTTCAAAGAAACTTAGAAATTGAAATCTGTTGCACATGTCGCAAGACTAACTAATTTTACCACGATGAGACAGTTCTTTCAGAGTATTTCTAATATTACATGGCCAAATTTTAGCAATGCACACTGAACATAAGCAAACCATGACCCTTTTCAAGCTTATAATTACTCAACGTACAGGCACATTACTCAAAAGGGAATATCACTGAACATCGAAAATCCGCTATGAATTCCACTTTATAAAATAACTTCTTTACAAGATTTGGTAAAGTTATTTATTTAGCTACAGACAGCCAAGGGACATTAAGTCCCTTCACAGCGGCTAGCTTTTCTTAAGCAATATAGAAGCGTGGTACAGAATTTGTAGCTCATTCAATATGGACTGTGTCGCGCTATGATTATCATCATATCCCATGTTGTAAAAAAGCATTGAAGTTGTTTCACATGATGTCTTATTCTGTCCATACAAAAAGTTAGTATAATTTGTGTCACTTACTATGGTACTTAACCTCAATAGCAACACAATTTTTTCCATAATCTTTAATAAGATCTCCTTGTCCTTTTTCTTTGTAGCAGCTTCGCGCAATAAACCCGAATCCAAAGTCTCACACGCAACAACGCTAGGTTTATTCTTCACGGTAAACATTTTTGAATCAATGTTATTTTGATTATTTATTTTTGCTACGTCAGCGCTGTAATTACAATGTAAAACATGCCATGACAAACAAATCGGATTTTTTCTCACATGTTATACATACTGGAGGCAAAACATTTTGTGATCTATCCTTCATGTCACTCTTTGGGGACCATCATTGTCAAGTGATGGGTGTTAAAGCTTATTCGGTGGAACGTCTGCAACCTCAAAGCCAATTAAGATTTCACTGCCTCATGTTCTCTTTTCCTCCACTTTTTCCAACTTGTTCTAATCACAAAGTTTTTTATAGCAGTTCTCATGGTAATGCCAGTCGAGTTCCCAGTGACATAACGGAATCTCCTGAGGCCCCCTTAATTTTCTTTCTGTTTCAAAAATGAGGTTGGCTGGAGGAATGGTTCGGGGGGTAAGGTATGGTTTTTCAAACCATAATCCTTAAAAATAACAAACATTTTTGCCTATGTATATCTACCAAAAAAGGAGGACCAAATTTCACAATTTCACCAATTCCAGCTCTTGGGGGCCATAGTTGCAAATTTTCTAAACCTATATAACTGAGGCTCGGCCCAATTTTCAAAATGTACTAGCAAAAAGATTATGATCATCATTATGGGGGAGGCGTGGTAGCCCCGCTTCTGAGCAGCCAAACACCCTTCAGTTAGGGCCTGCGAGTTCCCCACAGCCGTTAAGGTGGATTTCCAGTCCTCGCACGAAGCTCCTCGCAGCTCGCTGCTAGTGCTTGTATCTGATTAAAATGAACTGTTTAGCATTGTGATTGGATGAAAGTGCTCATGCATCACTCGCAGTGAGCTGCGAGGAGCTTGGTGCGAGGACTGGAAATCAGCCTTAAGAGTGTGAGAAATGCCTTTCTACATTAGGCTATTTCATTTAATATCCACATCCTTCAGAAAATTTTATCCAAAGGTGGGAGGGGGGTGGAAATTAAATGGACTGGCCCATCTTTGCTAATAAACAAGTTCAGATTGTGACAGCTTTCTGATTTCTGGCCTTTGGCCTTCGCCAGTTGCTCACGATAAGCAACAAATCTCTTTGCTGGAGTAATAGATAGCATCAGGCAAGGAAAAAAGAAATTCTGATGTCATTAACATCCGAAATAAGTGCCATTGTTTAGCTCAGAAAGTAGGCCGTCTTTCTAGCAATCTGGAGTTCGCGGTTCGATTCCAAACCGTTGCCAAGTCGAATTTTCTGCTTGCGCGGCAGCGCGGCCATACTCGTAAGGAAATCACTACACCTGTATATACTCAAAACTTTGCCACAACAGCCTGTTTCATCCAAGAGAAATCATCAGGGGGCGTAGAATTGTTTGTTTTTTTCCTTCAAAATACAGAAGTTACATCTTTCGTCCAAACATAAATTACATATTTTTGATCCTGCCCTATAAGAAACATTGCGTTCAAGTATTGACCATGTTATGTCGAAATATTGTTCGTTTTCTTCTAGTTTCCAAATATATTCGGAAAGTTCTTTATCGTTTGTGTAATTTTTGTGATTGAAAGACCCATTGTTATTTCAGCATCGGTCTTAAAGAGATTGATGTCATGCCGATGTAGTGCTTTATGCTGTTTGTGTTGCTTCTTGTGACAGTTGCCATGTATACTACAGTACTCTTCAGAAATAACCTAACAGACAACGTGTTCGAAGCGCGTCCGGAACGCGTTCCTAAATGCGTTCCATTCGCGTTCAACTCGCGTTCCAATTGCGTTCCATTTCCGTTCCACTTTTATCGCAACGCATCTGCGGAACGCGTTTGGTTACACTCGTATCGAAACCGGACATCGTCGTCATCGTCATCGTCATCGTCATCGTCTTCGTCTTCGTCGTCGTCCTCGTCGTTGTCGTCGTCGTCGTCATCGTCATCGTCATCGTCATCATCATCATCATCATCATTATTATTATTATTTTTATCATTATAAAAATAATAATAATAAAAATAATGATAATTAAACTCAAAAACCAATTAACTTGTCAGGGACCTTTTTCTCTAATGTAACAAAGTTATCCTTGTCGCATCTTAACAAAGTGTGGTCTACTGCTCAATCAAAACTTCCGAAAAACATTTATAACTTTACTATACGCTATATCAATAACCGACACGTAAGAATCTTAGCAGATGCGGATTGTCTTCAAGTTCAGAATGCTTCTTTTGTCTCGGCCCAGAATCATTACTGCATGCTGTCGCT